TAAACTGAATTCAACAAAGCTGTCAGTTCCTAAGCACCCCTGGGTTAATATATCACATTTTTATGTCAGTTTACTTATAGCTGAAGTCATCAACATCCATCAGCATTTCTAATTAATTTTCACCTTAATTAACCCTTTTCTCTGGGGTATGGAATTAACATCATGAAATTGTTTAACTACACTAATTACGGTACGATTTGTTGTTTGTTCTTTCTATTCTGGATAAAACAAATTATTCTAGGAAGGTGTATGTAAAACTAGTTATATATCTCGTCCATTCCAGACACAGTAAATTACATTTTAATGATAACTTTCACAGAGTCTAAAATAACTAATAACTCATAATCTATTGTATACGTTGGTTTCATTGTTTGCATGTCATATGCTAACCTCCTTATTCTAACTGTATTGGGAGAAAATAGCTAAATATAAGTCGAAAACATCGACCCAATTAGTAATCATTAGTAACGAGACAGGACATATACAATGTATTCATTTGATATCGCTTTTCATTATTTTGTGATGTTCATACAGCCAACAATATTATTTGCTTGTTTATATGAGCATGCGATCCTCAGTGACAGAAAAGCGATGGCAGCTAATGCCACCGTCAGACCAGGTGGCGTTCGTACTGCGCTGCTGCGACCGTACAGCGCCTAGAAAATGCACAAGGTCGCCGACAAACGTAAACACAACGCGAGTAAATACCCCAAAAAATTACAAACTTGAAAAAAGTCGCGTTCTTATACCACCGTCAGGCCAGGGTGGCGCCTTTACTGCGCTGCTACGGCGACGGAAAATGGTCATTCTCAACCATGGAGACCACAGCACGAGATCTGGCGTTTCCACCACGCTTTTAAGGCGCTTATGGCGATCTTAACGCGCTCTTCGACTATTTTCCGTCGCCGTAGCGTCGCAGTAAGAACGCCATCCCAGTCTGACGGTGGTATTATAACGACGTTCATACCATGTCATTTTAAGTGCGCTTTAGATTATAAGGTCTGTTATTGAGTCATGTGATGTGGTTTCGACCCAAGCTTGTACATGATAAGGTATAGGGCTGCAATGTATAGGGCTGCCTGCCCAACCTCGTGGGTTTTCGCTGAGTCCGCTGGTATTATTCCAGTGCTAAAGACCCCATACGCGCAAGCAAATTATTGAACTAAAATTGTTACCATATTATATTTTAGTCCCGAAATGACCTAGTTTGTGTAAAGTGGAAGTTACTCCGCCCCCTTCCCGGCAATATTAAAGCCCCAATTATCAACTTCCGGCTTTAAGAGACGTTAGATAATATTTACCCTGTGTAGGTCTTTGATACCGAAGAGTCTGAAATCGGTTCCCCAATATTTACCACCTATCACCATATGCTCGTAAATGATGCAATTGAAGCCAAATAAACTCCCAAGGTATCCCGAGTGGCGAAAGGATTAAACTGTTACTGTTATACTAATGAAAGATACAGTATATTCCTATGACAATGAAGATATATTTGTAATTGGATCAGGTAAATCGTCGTCTAGCCAATTAACCCACAATTACAACACCCTCCATGCTAATTATTCTTCAAAATACTTACATTTTGCCACCCATTTTTTGTGAAAAGTATTTTATCTTGTACATTACAATAACATAATTATAATTTTAGTCATAATATCCAAATGTAAGCATGTTAAACCATGATGAGATAATTACTTTGTATGATTTCTATATATCCGTGTGGGAATGTCTACATTATTCCATCGTGACAAAAGGAATGTACGCTATTGATGTCCACTTAACCGCAATTACATACTGCCAGAAAGTCTTTCGGCAGCTATATATTTAACACAACTATTTTTTATTGCTGTGGAAATGGTTCACGGTAGAAAGCGTGATATTAAAAAGAATGTATCAGTCGAATAAGTTAACACTGCAAGCACACCTTGAGAGCCAGATGAGCTAGTAGTCACCCGGTGCATCCCCTGGTAATAACTAGCGCCCTAGACAATTACTAGCGCGCTAGATACGTAGCCTTGCGCTGTAGATAATAGATATCCCCTCATCCTTAAATTTGAAACTGCATAGCGTTAAGCAGTGACAGAATTTGCTTACACTTTCCAGAATACTCGCTATCACTTCTCAATTGAGTTTATATAGCTAATGACAATTGCTCTTAAACCGTATTAAACATGCAAAGTTCAATGTTTTCTCATAGCTAAATATTTTTTTATTGTAATAGAGCAGAATACAAAATAGGTGGAAAATAAACGAATCTCTATTTCCCTGCCTACGCCGTTTGGCTGATTATCAAAGACATCGCTACCTGGTCTAGCGTTGACCGATCGACAATATACTAGAGTTACCTTCCCTTGCAGAATAAGAACAATTACGAGTTCCCATAGCTGGTTTTGTATTTATAAGATAAAAGATATCCAGAAGCGATCCACCAATTTATTATACCAATATTGGAATACGCGACGTTCTACCAATCCCTCAAAAGGTGTGAATCGAGTAAACACCAGATTTTAGACGACGAGCCCATGGCCGAAACGTAATCAACCGTTTCAATTATATTGATTGGTTGATTACGTCACTATTGTGCCCACAAACCATATTTTCAGTACTGTGGTAGGAGCTAGTATGGACAACAAAGGAAACGAGGAAGCGGATCGGATTACGAGTGAACGACCCACTCGAGGATACACCCTGTTGAACTTATTGAAGACTGCAAGTACCAAGTCGTCGTATGCACATGTGGAAAAGAGTGTACCACTAGACAGATATTAGATTGATATATATAAAGGGCAGAGAGAAAGGATTTGATAAGGATGAGGGTGATACATAACTCTCAATACTAAAAACCAACTCTTCCCAGAACCCGAACTTATGATTAAAGTTGGACTATGGGAAATGGTGAAGTAAGACAAGAGTAGAATGCCTAAGTTAGTAGACGCTTCCGACAACTAAACACTATTCCATCAACACCATGAAAATAGATATGCATGTTAGAAAAAATACATAGGCTAAAGAAACACCCACCAATCCAACACCAATTGGGCCAGCTAAGCCCATTATGTTTTTTTTTATAAATAAAGGGGAGGAATTCCCATTAAACCAATCCATGGCCATAGTCCGCAAATGAGAAAAAAATCATATTCTACTATACAGGAGCAAGTTTCCATTTCTCCTTGTTGCCTGGAAGCAGGCGTTAAACCCCAGCGGTTACTATTACTAGTAGTGATATATTCGGACCGTCCCGGTGCATCCCTATTGCCCTATACAGATGTTCACTGTGCGTGGTATGCGGTTAATATGAGTGGTGGACAGATTCTAAAGTCTAGACAAAAACCAAAAACAACCCGACCGTGTGTGCTCCTTTTTCACGTCCCACGTCCTGACTTTGTGATTTACGAGCGAATGCCACACCCTGTCAGCACCAGGTTGATAGATTATCATATTTATTTTTAAATGAATATAAACGGAAAGATGCTTATCACTTAATAGCCATTAAAATTGCAATGTACAATAGCTTAGTGGTGTAAATAAATAATATGTAAACACATTAAGAAGTTAATTGACCGTTTTCATGTACGCAATACCCGTTGAGCTGTTTGATCATCAGGTCATCGTTGGTTTGGTTCGATCTTAGAACAGTGGAATAAATGAGAGAAAAAAACAACCAACCCACCTTATACTGGTCATCGTAGAGCAGTTAATCTAATACTTTATGGTAGTGCTACACGTTCACGTCAATATAAGGCATCTGCACCGTACAGATAAAGGTGCATTGTGACACAAGCCCGATAAATGTTTTCCGTATTTAAAATAAACAAAAATGTCCTCCAAAAAGCCGAGGTCCCGTTGGCGTACATGTAAAAGAAACCTTCTCAGTTGGAATTCAATGAAGAGTAGGCAAAATTTCCCTCATAGCACACTGTACGAAGTCAGTCCATCTTAGCACACTGCACGGAGTCAGCCCATCTTAGCACTCTGCAGGGAGTCCGTCCATCTTACACGTCCATCGACATCATGAGATTCCCCATGCTATAGTATGTGTTACGATATTAATAATATTTTTATATCTCGTATTCTATTGTTTAAATAAGGAGTATTATCGGACGTCTTCAAAAAAAATTCACAGAAATACCATACTATATACATATATTGAATATACCAGTTAAGAGTACCTTTTAAAAGTTCTCGCTCAAGTGGAAAAATGAGATGGGGTTTAACATCCTACTTTTCTGCACTAAGCGGGATTAAAAAAAAAGGGGGAGGGGGCGTGTGCTATGAAGGACATTTTCCCCGTACAGCGGCACTACATCATTCTCTTTCAAATTTCAACTTTCAAGCGTTCCTTTACTTTTACGTGCATGCGAACATGTACACGGGACCGACCTGGTTTAGCGTCCTATCTAAACGACTAGACTCTGTGCCTTGCTATGCCCACCTTGCTGAACCACTGACAATGGTAAATCACCTGGAAAATCCAGGGGAACTTTCTCGACGGGATCAAATTCCGGATATCCTGGTTAATGAGCCAGCGCCTGAGAGAGAGAGAGAGAGAGAGAGAGAGAGAGTTTAACGTCCACTCGACACAAAATAGGTCATTTCGGGACTAACATCTAATATTGTTCAGTTTTTCAGTTTTATGTCAGTAACTCGTTCGCGCGTAGGGTTCTTTAGCACTGGGAGGAAACCAGAGGACCCTGAGAAAACCCACGAGGTTGGACAGGCGACCCTACAACGCCACATGACTCAATGACAGACCTTATGATGTGTGGAGTTGGTAGAATGGTAAATTAAAATCGTATTATTCTATTGGTTTTTAGGTAGCCAGGTACTTATTTTATTTGAAAAGACCCAATACCTGAGCTAGAATAACTACCTTTGGTTTGTTTGTTATTAATGGTAGAAAGTCTATTATAACCAATGACTAAGCAAGCCACGTGATTATACGAGAGAATCGCGTGGTTTGGCGAATAGAAATATAAATAGCAGCAGATGTATACGGGATATTAAAGATTCCCCCAAGACTGTGAAGGTTGTGTTTAGTCGTCAACAAGCCAATACAGCAGTTGAGCCAATATCCGATAATAATAGCCAACGTATAGAAGTGCTTGTGTATCAAGTATTGATCCTAGATCAACATTAACCAGCACAATACTTCATAAAATATACAATAGGCAAAAAGTTTCTTGTTTTACAGCTCCTTAATTCCTTATTCAAAATGGATTTTAAATGTTTGCCTGAAAGATATGAAGTTTTACAAACAAAAACTTATTAAGCTTTAAAACCAGACTTTACACAGCACAATTTGAGGATTTTTTGGTGTGGATTTTATTTAAAGTGTTTAAACTGGATACTCCGCCACCCCGGATTAACCTAGAAAGCAACGGTGCCTTTTTTGCAGATTTCGGAATCATGACTCAGGGAACACATGAGGAGAGGTTTGAAGAGCGGAGGAAAAGACGGCCCAGTGCTTCCTCCCAAACTAGTGGAAACAGTGCAGGCAGTATCGCCTCCGAAAATGCTCTTCCCGTACCTTTCGGTAACCAACTCCTCATTGCTTCGGCACCTCACTCTCGGGCATCATCATTCAGAAAACCACGCCCTCCGTCCAATGAACTTGAGGTCATTGTACCTGCTTTTCGGCGAAACAGTGTGCCTAATTGTGCCGTTAATCTGTTAAATGTGCCCGACCAAGAAGAAGATGTGAAGGGATCAGGCGGGCGCTTGCAGCGTGTCCGGTCCTTCAAAACGACGTCCAAGGGAGTCGTAAATCGTGGAGATTCCTTCAAAAAGAAAAGTTCACGAAGCCTCCGACTTATGACAACAGGTGTGGACCACAGAGACCAAAGAGGGAGATACCTTGCTCCCGAGCAAGAGGGGTCTATTCATTCACACAATTCAAATGCACCTAGTTACTATTCGGTGATTGTTCTTGGAGGAGCTGGTGTAGGCAAATCAACTCTGACACGACAGTTCATGACCTCGGAATATATCGATACATCAGACACTGGCGGAGGTAAGTTCAGTACTAACTATTCATAGAATAAAATTGAAAACCGGTTGCTATCAAATTGTGCAAATCCAAGCAAATGTTATATTTAATGTAGGGAGACAGGGGATTCGATTCGGAAAAATTCCCACAAAATCTAATTAAGAAAGCAACGCAGTCTAAAAGATCGACGTATTCTGTAGATGTTATTAGATACTAAAATTATTTATAGCAGTTGACATAACAGAACGCTGGCAGGCAACTCGGGTCAAATATCCCAAAAACTTTTATCCTCAAAGGTGAACTCCGTGTATAGTATATTGACTTATCTGAAACCATTGCCAGCACTAAAATACAAAACGATAAAGAAGTAGCGTAATTACATTAGTAACTGATAAAATCACATTCCAGTCTCTTATGTTAGAATTTTCATCTCAAGTTGTAAACAGTTTAAAGAGATTTTAATGATCTTTACGAATGTAACTATCAATAATAAATATAAGTGGCATCGTCAAGATAATATACAGCACGTTTCAAATCAACCATGAGGGATGTTGTAAAGGATTTCGGTGTGATTTATCGTATTCAGCATCATGACAACCCGGAAAATGTTTCCTGCAACTGAATGTCACTAGATAAGGGAAAACGAAAAAAAATAGAAATAGTCCGTACATTCCCTTGTTTTTATTCATTGTATAGTTAATACCAACGTGATAATGCACGGACTTTTTCTATTTTTCTCGTGTTCTCTTATAGTGTGACAGTCAAGTCTTTTTCTTTTTTTTTGTTGAATTGTCAGATATCCTCCCACAATCTCATATAACAACTTTTGGTCTTCGAAGGAATTATTAGTGAGCAGAAATTCGCCCTTGCATCTGTTATCACTCGTCACTTCATTCAATTATATAGAAGGATAACTCGTGTTTTCCTTTTGCATTCATCACTTCCCATTCATCTTGAAATCTTCATAACGCATCTATCTTAGCAATTTTCTCTGTGTTAAAATTAAATTCGGAACGTGTTAAGCCAGTTCTATCACATTATGTGATAATGACTGACACCAATATTGTCCTTTAAGGTCGTATATTAAGAATTACCTACCTTTGAGGGCATCTGTTGCCCCCCCCCCCCCAAATAAAAAGACAGCCACCAGAATGAAATGGTATTACTCCTTAATTATGAACTTCTGTAGAAATGATCACACCCAAGGCATTTTATTTCCACTCAGTTAATCGAGTTCAATTGGAATGGTCGGTCTGGGTTACCGCTTTAAAATTATAGGTGGGACAGAAAAGGGCTAGTAGATATATGAACCAAAATTAATGTTCAAACCATTGAAGATGCATTATGTAAGAGCTAAATCAGCCTATACTACAGATCTTTATGTTGGCCTCAAATGTTATATAAATTATTCATATGACAAGTTCATAATCAACTCTCTAGATCATCGGGTGGTTGTGATTTTAAACGGATTGGAATACGATCGCCATTTAATAATTTATTTAAAAATGGATAATCGTGACTTTGTTTATTATCGTAACAACGGTAGCAATAACAATCGATACGACGCGATTCTTCAAACAGACATAACTTAGCTCAGAATGGAATAATTTGATTGAAATTTCAATATATTCCTTTTTCATTATCTATTTTTAAACTATTATAACGAGGACTGTCAGCTCTTTATCTACATCTTACATAATGCATCTTGAAAGGGCTGCGGTTGTCACCGTGTACCATTTTAACTGATAATTAAATCACTAGAATATATTCATAATGATCATTGATAAATTATGCGAATTATTATATGTATGATAATATGAAATATAGCTGATGTTGTTTATCAGAGATTTAATCTTATTATAAGATTACCATATTAATTAATATCCCGCCATACATTAATAATGTACTGTTAAATACCACAGCTTAATATGCTCTTTATCTACATATATCCTACAGTATAGATATATAGCGGTACTATAGACGCTTTATCTGGTGTCTGATGATACACCAAGTATCTTAAACATTCATTTCTACCGCGATTGGTGATTTAATCAAGAATTCCCGCTAATACACAGAATGCATTAATAACAAAATCTTGTCAACAGCCTTGTAATTCAGATGTATGATTTCAACACTGCAACTTTGTGATGTCTGTTGATTTGTAAATAAACTCCATATGATGAACCATGCATGACAGATCACTTAAATGGTTAAACTTAGCTAACGCCCTGCAACAACGAATTCATACTAACCTGTGCAATCTTTGGAATGGAAAAGATTACAAGTGCAGCAATCGCAAAAATTGTGTGATTTCATTGATCTAACAGATTTTGTTGTACTTTTTGTACAGTAAAAAAATAGACAACAATGTGCATGGTGTATATAACAATATACCAAACGTGGCAATTAATTTATAAATATAACCTAAAGCATGATTACCTTTTTCATCGTTCAATAACTTACAATAATGTATGAGCGTGAAGCCAAACATGTTTTGAAAGTAGCCATGACAAAATTGCTACATGCCGTATAATTACAGACAACAAATCCGACTGAAACAGATACGTTGTTTACCGTATTTTTGAAGCACTTGTCTATGAAAATGACATAATATATTTTTTACCAGCTCAAGGGAAACGAAACGAAAACATGCTGACAACCGTGTTTTAAGATTACTTTGATAGTATACTACAACCCGCTGTTGTTTAATTACTTCTAAAAATGTTGAAATTATTTTCCGAAACGAAAGCAATAATATTGACAGTAAACTAAACTGAGGCAGAAATAGTTTTTGCATTCTTTTCAGAATAGTTTCTTGTTTACTAGTCTGTCTATTAATCTGTGGCATGATTCATCTTATTTTTACCTTGAACTTCAGGTACTATATACGTATTCGTTTCGTATAATATGTAAGTTACTAATTTCTATTGCCATGGTTTTTAAATAATTTAGGAATTAAAGATAATGAACTGGCAATAACCAATCATCTCCCGTGTGTTTGTTTTAATACCACGGGCCAAATATCTATATTAGACTAATTGAGATTTGTAAATTAAGTCTTCGATTGATGGTCCTACCTGTGGTGATTGGTATGGTGGGAATACCATAATGTTTGTAAAATCACACACCTTCGTGGTTTAAATGATTTAATGATCAGAGTACAAGTTTGATTAATATGTAGATCGATTGATTTCCAAGTATGTGGCATTTAATCATATGCCCGGAGACTTAATTGACGGGTGATAGGTATTGGTTCGTCAATTAAGATACAGTTTTGATTTGTAGCACATGTACTTGTGACATATGGAATATTTATTGATTTGGAGATTTATTAAACACCAACGTAGATAATATACCAAATAGTATTTTCAGCTATCAGTGCAGTACAGCCAGTCAGTCCAGAAAAATTTTCATATTAACTACCTGGGTAGTATCATAAACAATCTAAAATACAGACCTATATTTCGTTTCGTATTTTTTGATACTTTCAAAGGATTCCAAGGCAAGTAAAGCAACATTTTGAACTATAAAAAATGAAACGAAGCGAAATAGGATCTGTGTTTTAATGAGTTTGGTATCGCAAACAATATAAATCAGCACTCCAGGAAAGATTTGATCACAAATTGACGGTTTCGACACCACAGCCTGTAGATCCCCAAAGAGTTAGATGCCATCCAATGTGAATAGACCCCCTCTCCAAAACGTTATCCATTTTAGATTTTCTGTAATATAATGATGTTTTCTTTGAATGGGATGTAATTATATGTCTATGCTTATAAAACAAAATTGAAAAAGTACTGTTCCATTTATCTGATAGGTGCGAGAAACACAAACATGTTTGTTTTTGGTTTGTTTTGTTTTTTTTTGGGGGGGGGGGTGTTTTTTTGTTGTTTTGTTTTTTTAAAAAAACAACTCGTTTGAATGACACTTATTGCGTTATGGAAAAGCACTGTTCATATCATGTTAGCTTTTTTAGTTGTTGTTCAGAAGAAAAAAGCTATCATATATGATTTTGCAGCTGGAATGAAAGCGCTAGCCTTAACAATGTGGTGGGTTTTTTTTTATTATTCTTTTCATGGAATTTATATAAATACGTCCAGGTAAAAATTTAACCACTCTACTTCATTATTATATACACCAAATCATAAGCTAAGCTGTTTGCCCCATATAGGCGTCATTACACACACACACACACTATTTTTTTCCACGACACAAGCTCGGCTCAACACGAGTTTAATCAAATTTAACATTTTTAAGTACCTTTTGGCTCATCTGGGAGTTCGTTAGAAAGTATGTCTTAATATTTTAGGTATGTTTAGGTATCTCCCTGTGGAATGCCTATTGTTGATTCATGTTTGCAATATGCCATTCTCATTATCATTGTTACAATTCTTTACACTATGCTATAGTCTAGTTGGCACCTTAACAACATAACATAATTTATATATAAATACACATTAAGCTTGATTATACTACAAACAGATCAAGTTTATTTATAGACTCAACCATATTATACAATATGCCAAAACTTATATATAAATTACTATGTACAAGGAAACATTAATATGCTTTGTCAAATCATGTTCCGACAATGACTTTTACAAGTCGTTCCCGGAGGTTTAAAGACAATTCACCTAATTAATATTATAATTATGAGTATGATAGTTTACTATTCCAAGACTGGCAATATTATTATAAGCAGATTTTACTCATTGTCCTCCGCCTATCGAAGATTAAATATAAATTTCGATAGATTTAAAGTGGAAGTTGGTTATTTTGCTAATTCTGATTTACATGTTTCACCTAGGAGTACCATTTCAACATCAGCAAGTACTTTAGAGGTGTAAATTCTCTCTTCGGATATAAACTTCGAATGATTCTTCAATTCTTTAAACATGCATTATGCAAGAGCAAAATCTGCTTATTACAAGTCTTTCTTTAGGTCTGAAATGTTATCTAAATTATCAATTAGACATTAATTAACTTATCCAGACCATAATAAACTCTCGATGTCAAGGCTAGCC